GATTCACCTTTTGACCTATTTGCGTGACAATGTTTATAAAGAAATCAAAAGTTGTTTTGGTTAGCTGAAAAATATGTAAATGAAGTCGGAGAATTTAGATGCTCTGCACAGGCTTCCGCTACGAGTGGCACAAATCTTTTGCTTATTAGCACATTTTATTGCCTATTCCAAGACGTTTTGCTGTTGTTGTTGTTGTTGTGGCCTGGCGAAGCAGCTCGCATATAATATAAAACGGAAATGAATTTATAATGCACGAGTTTTTCCCTTTATGTTTATCCTTTCCTATGTATACATATATATAGCGATAGCTGTTGTTATTTTTTATGATGTCTGCCATAAATTGTTAGCCAAAAGCAAACACACACACACACGCACACACACACACACACCGACACGCTGACTGGCAAACAACTAACTCATTTTGTGGTTTTCACCTTTTTTTCTGTGGCAATTGTCTGGCTCACAAGTTTGCTTCTTTTTTATATAAAAGTCGCGATTCCGATTCAGATTCAGCTGCGGCTCTGTGTGATGGTGTGTGTGTGTGTGTGTGTGTGTGTGTGTGTGCTCGCATTGTTCAATATTATGCGAAAGTGTGAGGGTGTGTGTGTGAGTGTGTCTGTTTGCCTTCGACTGTTGGGCTGGGCGTGTGACAGCTCAATATATTCGCCATTTGTCGCCGTCGCTGTTGCCATCGCCATCGCCATCGTCGTCGTCGTCGTCGTCCTTCGCGCCCACAGGAGCTAGTCACAAGGTGGCTGCGGTTGCAAAACTGTTGAGCACAAGCGAATGCCTTGGCCGCAGACGTGAGGGCATGCATGGCAGGAAGGTAGCAAAGAGCCATAGTCATTGCCATCGACATATGAAGGAGCGCACACATGTGGGCGCATGTTGTTGTTGTTTGTTGCCGCTGTTGTTGTTTTTGTTGTTATTGTAGTTGGAAATGCAGGAAAATCAATTTCGTTCTCCATTTGCAGTTGGCAATTTGCATAATAAGGTCGTTTGGCGCAATTTGCATGTGAATGTGATAAATTCAACGGGTGGCGCACGCGGCGTATACGTTACACACACACACACACACACACACACACAGTCACACATGCAGCAAATGTCTCCATGTGTGTGTGTGTTTGTTTTTTTGTGTGCGCCTTTACAGTTAGCCCCACACTCGCACACCGCAAATGAAAAGTATAGCTGTATATTAAATAAGTAGGTGTGTCCATGTCATGGCAATGCCAACTACCAACAGCTGCCAGCTGCCAGCTGCCAGCTACCAACGGCCAACAACCAACAGCCAACTGCCAACTGCCACAAAGCAACTGCCAATTGCTGCTGACTGACTGTTGGCGTTTCGTTGCTGGTCAACTGCCTCCACTCCTGCCTCTGCTGCTGCCTCCGCTCCTGCCTCTGCTGCTGCTGCACAATTGCCGTGCAATCATAAAACGTGAAACTTCAACGCGCCAAAATGTCGTAAAAGCAAATATGAGAATTTTTTATATTTTTTTTTTGTTTTTTTGTGTGTGATTTAAACGCTTTGGCGTTGCCTTTATTATAGCATTCGAAAAAATAGCTGGGCGTTTATATCTAGCTCTAGCTCTGTGTGAATTGTGGACTGCAGTGACGGGCTTTCGTCTCTAGGCCATGGCGTTCTATTTATTTCTCTCTCTCTCTCTCTCTCCTTCTCTCTCTCATTTTGTTTTCTCTGTTTTTGCATTTGGTCAGACGATTTGTAATATTGGAGCAGCGCGCTGCATAGGCAGAGCCAGTTGCTGCCGGCTCTGCAGCGACAGTTCCTCCATATGCAGTCGTGCGGGCATAATTCATGTGACAGCCGGCAGGACTCTCGTTTTTGTTGCTGTTGTTGTTGTATATTTATTTTTGTTATGCTGCCCGACTGCACTTTCTATTTTACATGCAAAATATGACTGGCAGCGATTCTTTTTCTGCTACTCTTTTTCTGGCTCACTCCCATGACTGGAAATAGCATTT